GCCCCCCCGCCCGCCCCCCCGCGGGGGATCAAACCAGACGTGGAGAACTGGACCCTGAGCGGGAATCGAACCCTGACCTCCCGGTTCCTAGGTCGACGCTCAGCCACGGGGCCACGCCGGCCGGGCCGCAAAATCTTTTCAAACACACACGTGCCCCACGGATGGGGGTTAGACCTGCGTCCTGCAACGCAGAGCCCGCGACTCCGCAGGCCGCCCAGCTGTGCTGCCGCGGGACACACCTGATGCTAGAACATTCTCTCCGGCACCACAGCCGCTCTCCCCGCAGGGCCCACTAGGATGGGTGTCGTGGGTGCAGCTGGGCCGCCCTCAGGACACCTTCCCGGGTGGGGTCCCGCCTGCCAGGAGGACACCCCCTCTGCTGTGACGCGGTTTCGGTTGGGTCACCTCCTGTTCCTCCCTCGTGTGTGCTGGAGCCTGACTCTCTCTCTCTCTCTCTCTCTCTCTCTCTCCTCTCCCCACCCTCAGAAGGGCATGGCCTGCTCCTGTGGACACGTCTCAGAAGACAGAACCCTCGCTGATCCTGACATCAAATTCCTATCGATGTGTCCCTGGCCAGAGTGGCTCAGTGGATAGAGCGTTGGCTGGCGGACTGGAGGGTCCCGGGTTCGATTCTGGTCAAGGGCACATGCCTGGATTGCAGTCTCGATCCCTCCCCCGCACCAGTCGAGGGTGTGCAGGAAGCAGCCGATCCATGATTCTCTTTCACCATGGATGTTTCTCTCTCCCTTCCTCTCTGACATCAATAAAAATATATTTTAAAAAATTCCCATCAATGTCCCTGGCCAGTGTGGCTCGGTGGATAGAGCGTTGGCCTGCGGACTGGAGGGTCCTGGGTTCGATTCCAGCTCAGGGCATGTGCCCGGGTTGCGGGCTCGGTCCCCAGTGTGGGGCGTGCAGGAGGCAGCCGATCAATGATTCTCTCGCATCATTGATGTTTCTCTCTCTCCTTCTCCCTTCCTCTCTGACATCAATAAAAATATGTCTTTTAAAAAATTTCCTATCGCCCTGAATGGTGTGGCTCAGTGGATAGAGCGTCGACCTGCGGACTGAAGGGTCCCGGGTTCGATTCCGGTCAAGGGCATGTACCTGGGTTGCGGGCACATCCCCAGTGGGGAGTGTGCAGGAGGCAGCTGATGGATGTTTCTCTCTCATCATGGATGTTTCTAGCTCTCTATCCCTCTCCCTTCCTCTCTGTAAAACATCAATAAAATAGATTAAAAATAAAATCCCTATCGACACAGCCCAGAGCCACGCCGCCTGCTGCCCCCCCTCAGCAGTCCCGCCTCCCCTCTCACATCTGGGCCCCGCGGGGCTCAGGGCGC